TGTGCAGACCCCGGATCAGGTGGCAGCGCACTGCTGCGGGGCTGTGCCTGCAGTGGGTCGTAGCCCCAATGGCCCAGCTGGCTGCTGCTGCCAGTGCCAGGGACTATGCACTGCACAGGGTGAGGGGGGTGGAGGTGTAGTAGCCCCCCTCAAATCTCCCCAACAAACTCTACACCCACAAACCCCCCACAACCACCCTCACACCCCACATCCCCGCCATTCCCCACACCCACAACCGGCCCCCCCAGAAACCACACAGTTTCTCCCCCACCCCCAGGTCCCTGTTACCTGGACCAGCACCTAGGTCTTGGTCACTGCTGCAGCTTTGCCCTGCTCCTGGCTGCTCCAGCATGCTGCCTCAGTGTGCTGGAGCAGCAGGGCATGAGGCAGGCATAGAGGCACTCTGGCCAGGTGCCAGAGTGTCTCTCTGGAGGACTTCAGCCTCCACTTGCTTCCTGCACCACTTTTTTTTCCACTTTTTTTATTTTAATACCAAGATTTACCGGTATCAAATGTAGAGTCTGCGCTGCAAATATGCAGTGTGGGGAACATTTTTTTGTTCTTAGCATACCTCTTGCAGCATCTAAAAACTGCTTCGAGATGCCACAAGAGGCACATGCGCACTCATCTAGATGTCCAACTGAGGCTAGTGGAATTAGAAATCTGTGCCAATAAGAGTGGAAAAAAGCAGGAAGTTAGAAGTTTAGTTTTAGCCATCAGCCAGTGACCATCACAAAAGGGTACCAGCATACACTCAGAATGTGGCAAAACCAAGTGCAGCAAAAGGGTCATGCTGAAAGCAGCTTCACACACTGATCACTACAGAAAACTGCCATACACTACCGCATTTTCAAGTTTCTTTTCTAAACACAAAAAGAAGTGTTAAAGTATGAATACCTGTGTGATACACTCCTGCAAATTTGAAGCAACTTTATTCTGTTCCTCTTTAAGAATTTTATAGAGAATTGCCCGGCGCTCACTGTCCTTTCTTAGAAGAAAGAGCCCAGAATCTTTATCCTCAAGGGAGGAGGAAGCACTTCGATCTTCTGACACAGAGCTTTCATCAGGAACACTGAATCAGCGAGAAAACAAGATAAGGATGACATAACTAATTGTTACAACTGAAAAAAAAAATCAGACATGGGTAGGGCTATTTATGTAGATGAATACATAATGATTCATTATTATCTGGTCTTATTTCACTGCCCCTGTAATTTTAATTCCACCGTTATTGTTAATGACTGTTCACAGCCTCAACTACTGTAAATCAATGGAACTCTGCTAATTTATTCCATCTCAAGAGTCTGGCCCTGTATGAGGAGGCAAATGAGTCAGTGTCAAGAATGGGGGAATGTTATTTGGGGAGAGTATGTAGCAGGGTGTTCATCATTCTAGCCACATAAATTCAGATAGAAAATGACGCATTCCATGTTCACTTCTCAGGGCACCTGCCTTTTAACCTAGTGAAGTTGCTCTTATGGTTTTTCCTATCCATTCAGTAATTTTATCTATCCATACTCGCCTTGGTTGGCCTCTTTTCTGCTTCTGTTCACTCTTCTTTTGAGTGTTGTGTTGACCAAACTAGGATGTTTCATACTGTGGCCAAACCAACTCAAGTTTTGCTTGAGTTCTTCTTAACAATGTCAAGGAGGGTTTAATATTTTCCTGCAGCAGCAGCAAGGTCATTTATCATCAATTGATTTTCACCTATTAGCGGTATATGGTATCTTAAAAGTCATCTACAACACATCATTTTAAATGCTTTTAACCATCTTTCTAAAACAACTTGCAGGGGCCAACTTGCATAAACATACAAGTGTAAACTATTATAAAAATGGATTTTTGCTTTGGAAATATGGAAATATTACTGGCCTTAAACATCTTGAACAGATTTCCCAATGGTGCTGTTGCTACTGCAACTCCTGTCTTTTCATCCTAGTCTGATGTACAATCTTGTGACAGTGGCTCCAAAGTACTTAGCCATGGACATGACCTTCCTTTTGCCCACACTGATTTCCATTTCATAAAATGTTTCCATAGCATCTAATCTCTGTTAATTCTGACAGTTCCTTACTAATCCCACTAAGAAACCTATGCCAATCTAAGATTAGGTGTTTTTTCATCTCCAAATGAGACTGAATATTCAAAGCCTGAAGTAGAGTTGGAGAAGAGATGGAGAAAGAGGGAAGCATCCCTGCCTTACACCAATGCTAATCTTAAATTCTTCCATTGAAGTACACTTCCAAGACTCTATTGTTGTAGAGTAATTTGATGGTTTTAATAATCCCTGGACTAATACTATGCTTTGCCATAATTACCCATAGAGCTTCATGCCAAAAATATTTTTTAAATAATGAAATCTATAAAGTTTTGATTTTTCAAAATATTCTAAAATTACAAGTGTTCTCAGTCATACCACAATCCCTTCAGGAACCTCACTGTTCGACTACTTTCTATCTGCAATTTCAAATGACTCAACAAGATGTGTAACTGTACTTGGCTCAGGTGAGTAATGAACCTTACAGTTTTGCAATTACTGCTTTCTCACAAGACTCCTATTGATTCTGTACATTGCTCGGGGCAATTTCCAGTCTGACGTGTACTATCATAGGTCTTAGGAAGATCTTATCCAGACCTCTCCTCCTTGCTTTACTAATCCAGCTGGGATGCTGTTCTCTCCTGGAGTTTTTTTCTGGTTTTAAACATTTGAATTGCTGCCTCAATTTTAGCCCTACAGATTGGTGGTTCATCCTCCTTCTCACATTGATTGTTATTGATATGCTTGATGAGTACATTTGGACCAACATTAAGTTTGCAATTATAGATGTCCAGCCTTGCCCTTAATTATTATTGTTCTGGCCTGTTAACTACTTCCCTAGCTTTTTCATGACTTCAGTGCAGTTCTCAATATTATTCTTAAAGGTATTTTCTTGGATGGAAAACTAATATCAGTAGGTCCAGTTTTCTTTTGCCTCTCTAACATTTGTTCTTATTTCTTGATTCATTAGTTGGTATTCCAGACAAGGCTTATGCCTTTATTAATCAATGCCTGTTTGATTTTCCTTTGGCTCCCTCTTTGTAGAAATCTCATTTCAGTTTTCAGCTAAGCCATCAGTAATGTTTAGAACAGGACTGTTCAGCTTCTGAATGGCTGGGTAACTCAGCCACATGCCATGTGGGCTGCAGACCTCCTGGGCAGTATGCTATACAAATCACATGTTGTGCTGGGTGATGCCCTCCCACCCAACCACTACACAATGCTGGCACCTTCATGCTGATGGCATCCCACGCCACAACACCATGTTACCTGGGCCCCCTCCTTCCTGTGTAACCCCTCAACATGTGGCACTGGTACCCTTGCTCTGTGTGGGGTCTCTGGGTCCACTGAGCACCCCAGCCATGGGCTCTCAGCCCCATGGGTTGTGCTGCCTATCCCTACAGACAGGGGCAAGAAGTACAAGCTGAAAGAGGGAGGGAAAGCCTAAAGACTTTGGCAGAGACAGGAAGAGAGCAATGTGGGGAGCACCACCTGGATTGCAAGCCCAAGGGCTGCAGGTTAACCCACTTGAGGCTCACAGGCCACCAGTTGGACAGCCCTGCTCTATAAGGATGAGGGGAACAAATTATTCTCCTAATTGGTCTTGGAATTCTTCTTGGAGCCATAGATTTGAAAGCTGAATATTGAAATCATGCTTATTTCTGAGAGCTCTTAATTCCTTCTTCAATATTTAAATCAGCTGGTATTTTAAGGAAGCAACAGATTTAACTATTGAAGACATCTGACTATTAATTATGTGCACAAATTACTTCCTAACTATGATGGTGGTTAAGCACTGGAATGGATGACTCAGGAGATGCTGTGGAACCTCCATCTGTCATGAAACCACACACAAGCAGGGCTGATTCATGAGTTTAGAGTGTAGCATGCACAGATATTTTCCCAAATTAGATTTTAGTAATGTAGTGTTTAGTCTCTATTTGAAGTCAATGTTAAATGGCAAAACAACAGTTAAAAGTTAGGAATGCCCAAGACAGTCAAAATATATTCATATTTCACAGAAACCCAGGTTGGAAGAATGCAAATTCATCTCTGACGCCAGGTAGAGATGATATACTTTTACCAGTGTAAGTGATTAGAAACCAGTCTATATGCCCATAACAGAACAGAAGTTTGGCACACACAGACTGGTTTAAAAATGGCAGAACCCAGTCTAAGGTTTCCCCACCCTACCAAAGGGCAAATGTACGTTCTGTTCACTACCAATCTAAACCACATTGCTTACAAAAAACCATGCAACTTTGATCAATTCTGCCACGGGCTTTTTGAATGTCTGTACCCAGCCTGAAAGCCCACAGTTGGGATGGCTATACATATCAGGCAGCCACAAAGATGGCATAACTCAATCTGTTGCTGGAGAAAGTGCCAATCCCCAAATAAATGTTGGCTACATATCAAAGGGGAAACCTTCAGCAAAGGGAGTCCGTTCTCAGAAGACCAACACCTGGAAGGATTGATATTTTTCACCCTTGAACTGAATGAGAGAAAGTCTGTATCTCTCTTGAATAACTGACAGCCAAGGAAAGTACAGTTAGGAGTTTATCTTTCTGAAAGGAACTATTTCAATATGTCCTAACTTATATGTATAACTGCAACTTGGCAATATCACTTGGCCTGACAGCCAGATGCATATCTGGGGGAAGGATAGGATACACTTGCTCCCTGAGAATTTAATAGAAAACAGCATAGGATACACTTGCTCCCTGAAAATCTAATGGAAAAATATAGATGAACGGATGGTCTGAGTGAGAGCCCTAGGCTTTGAGTTATCTTGTCCCCAACTGGTAGAAGCTGGGATTTCAACCTGAGAAGCTATTTGCAAGAAATCTGTCAGGAGAGAGTAGAACATTTCTCTGGACAGAAAGGTGTTGCTCTTTTTGAAAGAAATGCAGTAAGAAATTTCTTTAGTAAGAATTTTATGGCTTTTCTTCTTGTGTTCTGTCTCTACAAAAAACAGGTGCTTGCTTATGTGATTTATCTTGCTTGTTGTAATAGATCCTTTTGACATTTTATTTACCTTACTGATTGTCTGTAGTAAAGGTGATTTTCAGAGCAACTGACAATTCCAGGCTTGCCTCCTTTGCGGTAGAGGGGACCTATAATTTAATATAAACCCTATGGTTATGTCCAAGGATCCTGGTCTTCTCTGATAAAAAAAAAATCCACAATTTTCAGGTGAAAAAAAGTAACCCCAAATCCACATTTTTCCATGATTAAAATGAAATGCCACTAATACATATCTATCTATCTATAGATATAGGTATTTATATAGCTATATATAGATATAGATCTATAGATACAAATAGATATATCTATTTATTGATATCAATACATATACTCACATACAGTAATGGTGTTTCATTTTGATCATGGAAAAATGTGGACTTTGGGTTACTTTTTTAACCCAAAAATCAAGGATTCCATTTTTTTTTTTTTTTTTTAAATCAGAGAAAACCAGGATCCCTGGTTATGTCTCAGAATTTTGCAACACTTCTGCTGGAGCTGCAAGACCTGGACTAAGACAGGTGGAACTAAGGTTTATGGAAATAAGAAGTTATGCCAAGGGCAAATCTTAGTGTATTCTCAGTAGTATAGTAGAGACATGGAGCTGATGGGCATCCTGATAATAAACAAACAGTATCTTTGCACATCTTTAAGAGCAGCTTAGACAAAAATGTGGCTGGGATGGCTTAGACAGAGATGATCCTACCCTGAGCTAGGGTTTGGACTAGTCTACCTCTTGAGAGGTAGTCTTCAGACCAATTTTTCTATTATTCCACTTTAGTTTAAAGTCAGAGTGAATCAAACAGGTGTATATATAGAGGTCATGCTAAAAAACATATGGAGGTCATGCTGAATGCAATTAGACAGCTTTACCTCAGTAGGTTGGAAATGTGATGCTTTGTCTGAATCTCTGAAACAGATCGCTTTGTCTTTTCAAAGAACATGTCATGCTGTACATCAGAATCTGGTGAAACAGACCCATGTTCACTGCTGCTACTTCCAGCCTGTTCCCCAGGGACTTGCACTGGGAGAGATACACTGCGATTATAATCTATAAAAGACAAAGAAAACAAGCCAAGTATGTATCATTAAAGCATATAATACAACTGTTTGAACGGACAGTGTTTTTAAAACTTCAGTATCCAAACACAGTAAATGACATAGAGCCCTCAGCCGGCAAGGAGCTTAAGAGAGGTAATTGATTACCCTGGTTATGTCTACATGAGACACTTAACTTCGTACTAGCACAATTTACTGCAAAATAAGCATGTGTGTCTACACATGCACACGTTTACTTCGCCTGCAAATGCAAGTAGCAAATTTACTCAGGATTAATAAAGGCACTGTAGTACTCATGTAGACACGTTACTGGGGGCAAAATCTGCTCCCAGTCAGCTCTCCACCAACTCCCTGCCCTCAGAAGGTGGGCAGTCTCCACTGCAGGAGCCTCGGCAGAGACTATATTCCCCTGCCCCAGCAGCAGGGAACTCCAAGCCCCCTTCTCCAAGATCATGATCCGGCAGCAGAAAGCTGGGAGACCCTTATCTCCTAGCAGCAGCTCCACAACCACAGAGCCCCTGCTGGAAGACCCTTATCCCCCAGCCGGAGCTCTGTGGTTGGAGGGCTTGGACTGGGAGACCCTTATCTCCCTGCCCAAGCTCTGCAGTTGTGGAGCTCTGGTTGGGAGACTATTATTTCCCAGCCTAAGAGACTCAGGCTGGGAGATAAGGGTCTCCCAGACCAAGCCCTGAAACTACAGAGCTCGGGCTGGGAAATAAAGGTCTCCCAGCCTGAGCCCAACAACTGCAGAGTCAGTGCTGAGAGCTCCCTGCTGGTGGGAGCAAGGGAACCTGTTCTCCACCCAGCTCCATGAGTGCGGAGCTGGGGAAAGGGGAACAGGCTGGAGAGCTTATTTCCCCCCCAGTACCATGCTCTAAAGAAGCTCCCCAGCCCGTACCCTGCATGCACAGGTGGGGACAATGTCCCCCTGCCTTGGCAGCAGGGAACTTCCAGCCCCCACTCCCCGATCGCAATTGTGAAGCAAGGACTAGGAGGTTGTTTCCAGTCCCCACGCTGCAACCACAGAGCTGGGGTGGGGAATAGGCTGGGAGCTTGTTCCCAGCCCCTGCTCAATGATCTCAATTGTAAATCACAGAGCAGGGCCTGGGAGCTCCCTCCATGGGCTCAGTTCCCCACCAGCAGGGACCTGGAGCTGGTTGGGACCTGTCCCTGACCAGTACAGCTTCCAGCCAGCCCCAGGCTGCACAGGGAAGCACATGCAGCCTGGAGGTGGCCGCAAGGGCAATTGGAGGGCTGCAGGGAACTGGTAACAAATCTTCTTCCTAATCTCTGCATGTGTAGACACTACCCAAAACCCCTACCTGCTGTATCTTACTGCACAGTAAATATAGGCTGGAGTAAGTGCATGTGTAGATGTGCCCTCTGGGTACCAAAGAATCAAGTAAGTATCTTTCTCCAATGACATAACAATAAGCACCCAGTGCATTCTTGAGTATTATAAGAATGAAAATTGAAATGTTTAACTTGATTAACTGCACCCAAAGACAGATGAAAGTAACTTAGCAGTAATTTTAATAACATTAGACATGGTTTAATGCCATACCTCCATGTGCAGACACTCCACACAACTGAACTAAAAAGAGAATTTTTTATGAGGATGCAGCTGTGAAAGGTAAAGACCAAATAGCATCACTGGCTAAGAGTTTAAAATCGCTACTGAAATAAAATAGCACCAAACAGTACGTGGCCATTAAAAGATCCCTGTCCAGAGAAGTAGGTCACTGCCTGCTGGCTAGCTGCTGCAAAGATGTACTTGCAGACAGCTGTATTTGGAAGACAATCTGCTGGCTGACATTCTGCCCATTTAGCCTTAGAAACATTTCATTGCTCTTTGGCCTTATAGCTATTTGTTTATCTATATTGCAACAAATTGCTGATTTTTTTGCAAGAGAGGATTACTTGCAAAATACTTGCATGTTCCACATGATTTCTGGCTATGAGTTTAAATTGCCACTGAAATAAAATAACACACATCAACTTGTGGCTCTTCACAGTTCTGTGTATACTGGGTAGGCCTGGTTGGTAGGCCCAGTTCTTTTCACCACCCCAAGAAATTCCCTGTTGTCTTATTGGGCCACTCAATATAGGTCAGAAGAAGAAATGCTTCCTGCAACAATAGGAGAGAAGGTAAAGCTGCCTGGTATGGAGCAGTTTGCAGTGTGGGAAGGAGAATGACAGGCAATGGCAGAAATTGTTCCCCCTACAAGAGAAAGTTTCTGCTGGAGTGACCCTCCCCCACCCCATCATTTCTAATCAAAGACGGTCTGTTCAAACACAACTTTGGGACCCTTCCCTCTCTACCCCCTCAAAATGTTCTCTTAATGAGCAAAGAGAGAGATGAGGTAAAATAAGAGGGAATTTATTTCAGTTCACAATTTCTATGGCCAGTTCTCACAGACACTAAAGCAATTTTTTAACAGCTGTAGGTTACAGTCCATTACTTCCAGTGGGCCCAGCAGGTACTCAATAACTGAAAAAATCAGTTAAGAATATAAATATTGATATTCCACGTTCAGCACCTGGGTCTGAGAAGTGTGTGCAACAAGCATAAACTGAACACAAAACATCAAGATGTATGGCAAGGATTTTCAAAAGTGACTAAGGGATTTCCAATACATTGAGGCATTTTACAAGGGGTCTAGTTTTCAGAAAGGACTGAAAGTCAGTCCTCTTGGGATATGTCTGTATCTATAAACACAAAAATCTTGGCTTATTTCTGAAAATACTGAGCAAATATTCTTTTGTTTTATTAAAAAGAAGGCACTCAGTTGTGGTGAGTGGAACTAGCCAAAACGAGATCCATCAGACACGCTAGCTCTTCATGGAATTTGTTACATGGAAATAGGACAAAATGCAGGCCACAAGGTTTGCATTTCTACAGTTGGACTCCTGCCGATTTCTTGACACATCCCATGCCCTGAATAACAAAGAGGACATGCCTAATGATTCCAATCATCTTACATAGCACATAATGTTGTTGTTGACCTGTAGCTGGCTGGTAATTCTTTACCTGATGGCTTGAATGAGATTCTGTTTTTCTTGCCCTTGGTCACCTGCTTCAGAAAAGGGTCTTTGAGCAAATCAGATGCTGCAACACGCTTATGGGGATCAGGTTCAAAGCAGAGCAAAATAAAGGCTCTTGCTTCAGCAGACAGTGACTCTGGAATTTCAGGATGAATTTTGAACATCCCAACCTGTAAGTGAAATATGGATGCAAATTATTTTAATACATCCTAAGAACATACAAAATACCAGACTAGGTCAGACCACAGGTCTATCTAACCCAGTGTCCTCTCTCTCTCTCAGTTGCAGAGAGGATGCTAAGGGGTTAAGAAGGGCATATCCAGAATGATCCATTCCCTGCTCCCTACATCTTCCAGCATTCAGAGACCTATGATGTCTTAATTTTGATAGGGTTGCTACTATCATGTTTGATACTCAGCAATGGACCTATCCTATATGACTCTGTCTAATCCCTGGTCCTCAGAGAAATAGCTGCAAAGGAGCTGTGAACCAAATCCTCACATGGTGTGAACTAGAATAACTTTGGCGGCTAGTGGAAGGTTTGAAAGCCGCAATAGAGAAATCATCTAGTCAAGTCACTGAAGTGACAAGTGGGCTCCACTGATGAGGATCTGGCAACCTTTCTTTCACAGATATTTAAGAAGATGTGTAGTGGTTAAAGTAGACCAGCACAAATGTCAGAGCATGACCATATCTGTTTAACCTTCACACAACCTTGGCTCTGATCATCCCCACCTCTGCTTTCCAAACCTTGCTCTACCTCCTAGCTGCCTGCCCTTTCTGTTACTATATACCTTCTCTCTGCAGCCAACACCATACTTCCTAGTTGCTGAAGCCTCTCAATACACTTCTCTTCAAGGGCCCAAATCCACTTCCAGCCTTAACACTACCGTCCTCACTCCCAGTCCCCTCTCTCACTGGTGCCTGTGCCTGCCATGTTCTGCAGGTGACAAAAGTCCAAGGTTCACTTGCAGAACAAATCCTAGTTGCCTAGCTTACCTGCTGTACCCATGCTCAAGCTAGATGTATTTCCTGGCCTTTTAGTATCATCCACTTGGAATCATGCGATGGCCAAAGGGCTCACTCAGACAGCATAATTAAACATATCTATTTCAATAAGCTTCTGCATAGCAGACTCCTCAGACCCCTTTCCCTGAAGCAGCTTGAGTTGCCAACTCTTAATCTCCAGTGCTGGTTTTACATAAATATTTTGCATTCTGCACATGCAGTATAAATCTGGCTTATTATGCCTTTCAGTCTTAACATATATATGTACAATAGGCTCCATAAAACAAGCAGCAGGGGTATGAAAATTATTCTGGCCACAAGGCAGACAACAACTAAGTGGTTAATCATGTGCCAGAAGCTTGCTAAAATAAAGAGTTGACTGAATAATCTCCTTATAGACCTGCATTAACATACTGTGCAACTGCTACCAATTTACAATGGCACTTCAGCTTTGGGGAAGCCAGTAATGTTTATACTCAATGAAACAAAAATGCTGGACAGCAGAGACCATATCTGAACCACAACACAGGTTATAACTGTTAATGCATTTAACCACTTCCAAGCCCTATCTCCAATCACATAGAAAACTGATTTTAGAAGACAAACCTAACATTTCCTGTGGACTGAAATATTTCAAGAAGCAAACACTTACACTATATATGTTATGAATAGAAGAGATTCTGTGAACTAACACTGCCCCAGAATTTGGCTTCTGTGTAATACACACACACACAGAGCTGTGGGCAAATCACCTGGTTTCTATACAGTTCAGTTAATCTGTCCGAGAGGCTATCTTGACCTAATTTATAAAGTACCATGCAAACGCTGGGGACTACTCTCCAAGGTATACATGTACCAATATGCCTTAATGCCAGCCTGCAGTGCCATAGCAAGGAAGTTTGGCTCCTGAGGCAAAGCCCACAACAGCAGCCAGCTCCCGCGCACAGATCCAAGGACCCCCTCCCCCTCCACCACCACATGCTTGCCCAGGAGTGCACGCAGTGGCAGAAGCTGCCCTCCCCGTCCCTGTGCCCCCAAAACAAGTTGCTCAAGGCTCCATCCTGTGCCCCACCGTGGCTGGGCAGCACCTATTGGCACCTCTTCGCTTTGGCACCCAGGGCAGGCACCCCATTCA